AACACAGGAGAAAAAAAAAAATTGAAACATTTGTCCTACTCACTTTTCTCCAAGCTTGAACCTTACCACCCTAATAGGAAACCCACACACATCCCTCTCAACTATGTAACCAATATTAAAAATAATGTAACATCCAGAAATCAGCATATCTCACCTTATTAGTAAGATAAAGGACAAAAAAAATCCGTAATATAGAAAAATACTTGTAAAACTTCAGTTGTTCTTCAAACTAAAGATTATTTTCTTTCCACTTTCCTGAACAATTTAGTCCTAAAGTCATTAGGTTGGGCACACTAAGGCAGGCAACCATGTCAGGGTGACCCACTGTAGGGGGTTCTGAGCTTGAGACAGATGAACAGGGCATCCACATAGGTAAACCCAGTAGGGCAGAGTCAGAACAGGGTGAAGAGCTGCCCAAGCAGAGGGGGGTCCTGGCAGAAGGTAAACCCAGTAGGGCAGAGTCAGAACAGGGTGAAGAACTGCCCAAGCCGAGGGGAGTCCTGGCAGAAGGGTGGAACGAGGAGGGTGACCATAGGTGTGATCACAGAAAGCACCTCATCAAGCTTGCAATGTATTCAATGGGTTATCTTCTGTTACCATATTTTGTTTATTTCTGTTGGTCGAAACACCTAATTTAGTCAATGCTATCCTGCTTCAGTTTTAACATGTCACAATAGGATCCAGTTTGAGGCACTAAGAATGAAAAGAGCCCCTGTCAAAAGACAAATTGTCAAATGTTAGAAAGACAAGTAAAGAATGCTAAAGACAATGAATGGAAAGACTCAAGTCACATAAAGGGAGATCAATTAGATCAACATCAGACTTCTCAGTGGAAACTCTACTGGCTGGAAGCAAATGGGATGATATGCTCAAGATCTCAAAAGAAAAAATTCTATCTAAAAATATCATATCCAGGGCCCGGCGAGGTGGCCTAGCAGCTAAAGTCCTCACCTTGAATGTGCCGGGATCCCATATGGGCGCCATTTCTAATCCCAGCAGCTCCACTTCCCATCCAGCTCCCTGCTTCTGGCCTGGGAAAGCAGTAGAGGATGGTCAAAAGCCTTGGGACCCTGCACCCACGTGGGAGACCTGGAGGAAGTTCCTGTCTCCTGGCTTTGGATCGGCACAGCACCAGCAGTTGCGCTCACTTGGGGAGTGAATTATTGGACGGAATATCTTCCTCTCTGTCTCTCCTCCTGTGTCCTGTGTATCTGGCTTTGTAATAAGAATAAATAAATCTTTAAAAAAAAATCATATCCAGCAAAGCTATCTTTTAAAAGTGAAAGAGACAAAGTATTTTCCAGATAAGCAAAAACTGAGAGAATTCACCACTATCAGGTCAGTCTTACAAGAAATTTTGAAGTGTGTCTTACATTAGAAATAAAGATGATAAAAAGTCACAATGAAATTCACCAACAGTGATGGTAGAGTCATTATCCACTCAGCAAAATGGCAGGCCTTAGCTCTTATCTCTCAATACTAACCCTGAAAGTATATGGATTCAATTCACCAGCCAAAAGACTTAGCTCAGCTGAATGGATGTTTTAAAAACCCACAATCCTACCATATGCTGCCTACAAGAAACTCATTCCACAAAGATACACAGAGTGAAAGTGAAGGGTTGGATAAAGATACGCCAGGCAAATGGAAATCAAAAGTGATCAAGATAAAACAGACTTTAAATGAAAAACTGTAAAATAAATAAATAAATGAATGACACTACATTGAACTTGACAAAAAGTTCAACTTCAACTCAGCAAGAAGATATAATCATCATAAATATTTATCACCCAGTAGAAAATCACCCAGATATATAGAGAAAATACTATTAGATTTAAAGGGAGAGATACACTCCAATACAATGATAAGGGGAGACTTTAATATTCCACTCTTGTCAAGGAACAGATCATCCAGATAGAAAAATCAATAAAGATGCATTGGAATTCAATTATACTACTGAGCAAATGGGCTAAGAGACATTTGCAGGACATTTCACCCAACAGCTACTGGACACATATTCTCAACAGCACATGGAGCAATTTCAAAGGTCACAAATAAAGTTCTCAGAAAATGTGAAAGAAACCCTTGGCAAATGCCATTTATTTCTCAAACCATAAAAGAATACAACTAGAAATCAACAAGAAAAAAACGCATTACTAACTGATGAGTGGGTCGTCAAAGGAATTCAGGAAATCAAAAACATTTTGAAATAAGTGAAAATTAGATCACAACATATCACAGCCTGTGAGATACAGTAAAAGCAGTATTAAAAGGCAAATTTTAGCTCATGTTTAAAAAAAGAAGGGAGAAATGTCAATAGACAGTTCTCAAAAGAAAAAATAGAAACACAGCCAAAAAAAAAAAAAAAGAAAGAAAAGAAAAAGACTGCTCAGCATCACTGATCATCAGGGAAACGCAATTCCAAACCAGAATGAGATACTATCTCACCCCTATCTGAATGGCGGGAATCCACAACACAGGGTGACAAACGCTGCTGAAAGTGGACAATGGGGAACACACACACTCTTTTTGCTGATGTAAATTAGTGTAGCCTCTATGGAAAACAGTGTGTAGCCATCTTTAAAAACTAGAAATAGACTTACCATATGATCCAGCAACCTCACTACTGGATAAATACCCAGATAACTTGAATATAATGACTCAAAGAGATACCTGTACAATCATGTTTATAATTTCACTATTTATAATAGTCAAAATTTGGACTCAACCAGGATGCTCATCATCAAATCAATGGATAAAGAAAATGTGATACACACAAACACACACACAATGGAATACTAGTCAATTATAAAAAAGAATGGTATTGGTCCACTTGCAGCAAAATGGACTCGACTAAAGGACATCACAGTGAATTAAATAAGTCAAAACTCAGACAGACAATTACTGCATGTTCTTACATGTGGGAGCTCAGAATTTTAAAAAAGACAAAAAAAGAGAATGAAAGAAATGTCTATATATACCAGCAGAATAGCAATACAGTTTTCTAAAACTTTGTTTTAAACCTTTAGCAAGATTACTTTGTAATTTACTATATATGGGTAAAATGGTCATTTTCAAAATTTAATTATTGTTCATAGCCATTGTATTTCCACTAAACTAATATCCTTTTGCTTTTTGTTAAACGTATTCGGTGAAGTATTAAACGTCTTACTGTGATGTAAGTCTAGAGTATGTTCTGTCAAAGAGTAAAAGATGCTGGAGTAAGGAAAGGAGGGGAATATCACTGGAGGAGAATGTCACTGTGTTCTCAGAATTGCATCTCACCTGTTGCATATTAATTAAAAACTAAAATGAGAAGTTAAAAACTACATAATACTAAAAGAAAGCACTTTGAGAAATAAAGTTTGATATAACACAATTCCTTGTGATTACTTCAGCTCCTAGCTACACTGTTTGGTCATGGCTCCCTCAACTAAGAAATAAAAGAGATGCCTATCATATTTGTGACGTTTGAGAAAGTTCCAACTTTAAGAAACTTGTAATTCAAAGGACTTAACACTTTTTGCAAGCTCTCATCAATACTCTATCCAACATTCTCCTCCCTCAAGGGTTTACATCATGGAGATATTCCAAAGAGTCTTAAGACATCATTAGCATTGAAATTTATACTTGACACTGTTGCCAACTTTGGATATATGACCCAAGCTGTACAATTTCATCTAAGTTGATATTTTCTCTAGGGTGCAGATACTGTACTGACCACAGTCTAGAATCCTAGGATCTGTCAGATTCTCAATTACAGGCCTTTATTCTAATACTCTCTTCAGTTCTAGACCAGGTTCCAATTCCACCCCTCCTAGCTATGGCACCATGGGCATGTCCCATAACATTTCTAAGATCTCACCTTTTCTTCTACACAATGAGGACATTTGCACTATGTCTGAGGTCACTTCTGGTAAACACAATTTAAGAGATTGGACACAATTGAATGAACTCATGAAAGGTATATCCATAGATGTTTACTAAGGAAACTCAAAGTGACTCTGAATACTGTAAGCAGTGTTGCTATTGTTTCCAGGTTGATACTTATGACTAAATATTGTGGAGAAAAGAAAACAAAACAAAAAATTAGGTAGCAGATTCAATGGCTAGCATAAATATTGGGTCAGCCACTGGCCATGACCCAATCAGAAGATATGTTTGTATCAGGATTTAAATTAGCACACTGCTGAAAGAACATAAATATAAACAAATTATATATTTGTTTATATTATATCATCTAACTATTTTGAAATGATAAGAAGTTAATTCACAAAAAAACCCAACTTTTTCTGCTTAGTAGCAGGATCTAGCCTAACGAAATAGCACCAAAAACCAACTCTCAGTTCTTCATGAGCAAGTATACCTGAGTATGTCTCATATGTGACATCACCCCATCTCTCCCACCCTCCCCTCTATCACTACCAATGGAAGAGAAAGTACCCTGGAAATGAGACCTGTTCATCTGGGAACCAGCCAAGGCCCAGCCAGATTTGGTACCCACCCAACCTTACTCCAGACTGTTTTCCCTGTACCCACCAAGCAGGTGTCAGGTTTCCTCTCAAGCATCGTAGCTGTTGCCACTTCTCTTCATGAAATACCACTCTCCTTACTACACCAATCTTCATATGATTGGTTCCTATGGTCAAAGTCTCAGTTTATATATGCTCTCCAAAGAAAAGCTGCTCCTAACCACCCCTCCCCCTGTAGGAGGGTGACCTACACCCCATAATACTCTTTTCCAGCACCACATCTATGTACTTTTTTATTAGCCATTATCACAACTTGCAGTTAAGCATTTCCTTTCTGACTCATTTACACTTGATTCCAAGCTGGCCTCTTAGAGCACAATCATGTTTTCTTTTAATTAGGACACATTCAAGTGTCTAGGACTATAGTTTCCACATGACACTTGTTAAACAAATGTTGAGTGACTTGGTGAACACTGGCAGCCCCCCAGGTTTGAGTCTTGTCTGATTTCTAGGAGTAAAGGAGCTTACCTTGTACATAGGGACCCATCTCAGGGTGCTCTCGGACCCGCAGGGTATAGGACTTCCTTTGACCAGATTTTGTCAACAGATCCCGTACTCGTTCATTATAGATTTCCAGAAAACTAGAGACAAGTAGAGAAATATAATCAGATTTTGAAAAAAGCAGGAAAAACAGGCAAGAACCAGAAGGTTCTAATCCCTGTTCCAGTTCTACCTCTGCCATTGTAAGACTAGGACTTCTTGCTTCATAGAACCCCTTTAAAGGGTCTTTCTCTGCATATGTACAATAGTTTTGAGCATGGTCATCATTACTTCACAGTTTTAGGTTTAGGTACTGACTCAAGTTAGCCCTCAAGGCACATTTTCAGCATGCATTGTAGCATATGCTAGTATACACTGAACCTGCATCAGGCCTCTGTATGAGGGAGTGTAAAATGTGTATATCCAAAATGAATCCAAATGTGACCACTGATCTGTAGCATTCTGTGAAGGGCCACTGCTGAGCTATGAGGGAAGCTAAGTGAGAAGGTTATAGGTCCTTCCTCAGTTTTTAAGTAAACCAAATCTCACTTCATCTGCTTTATACATTGGGATTCCATATTAAATATGCAGTACCTTATAGATATTTGCGGTTAAGTTAGTCCTTATGAAAAACAACTAGGGGGCCCGGCGCGGTGGCGCAAGTGGTTAAAGGTCCTCGCCTTGCACGCCCGGGATCCCATGTGGGCGCCGGTTCTAATCCCGGCAGCCCCGCTTCCCTTCCAGCTCCCTGCCTGTGGCCCGGGAAAGCAGTCGAGGACGGCCCAAAGCTTTGGGAACCTGCACCCGCGTGGGAGACCCAGAAGAGGCTCCTGGCTTCGGATCGGCGTAGTATCGACCCGTTGCACTCACTTGGGGAGTGAATCATCGGATGGAAGATCTTCCTCTCTGTCTCTCCTCTCTGTACATCCGCCTTTCCAATAACAAAATAATAAAAATAAATCTTTAAAAAAAATAAATAAATAAAAAAAAAAAAAAAAGAAAAACTAGGGAGTCTGTAACCGCTGGCATCCCACTTCCCAACCAGGTCCTTTCTGTGGATTGGAAAAGCAGCAGAAGATGGCCCAAAGTCTTGGTTCCCTGCATCCACATGGGAGACCCCAAAAATGTCCTAAGCTCCCAGCTGTAAATCTCAGATCAGCTCAGCTCCAGCCATTGCGGCCACATGAGAAATGATCCAGTGATTGAAGATCTCTTTTTCTTTCTCTCTCTTCTTTTTTTTAAAAAATTTATTTTTATTATTATTTTTTTAGATTTATTTTTATTATTTTTTTATTGGAAAGGCAGATATACAGAGAGGAGAGACAGAGAGGAAGATACTCCATCCGATGATTCACTCCCCAAGTGAGCGCAACGGGCCGATACTATGCCGATCCGAAGCCAGGAGCCTCTTCCGGGTCTCCCACACGGGTGCAGGGTCCCAAAGCTTTGGGCCGTCCTCTGCTGCCTTTCCAGGCCACAGGCAGGGAGCTGGATGGGAAGCGGGGCTGCCGGGACTAGAACCAGCGCCCATATGGGATCCCGGGCGTGCAAGGCGAGGACCCTCAACCACTTGCGCCACCACGCCGGGCCCTTTTATTTTTTTTATTGGAAAGGCGGATATACAGAGAGGAGAGACAGAGAGGAAGATCTTCCGTCCGATGATTCACTCCCTAAGTGAGCGCAACGGGCCGATACTATGCAGATCTGAAGCCAGGAGTCTCTTCCGGGTCTTCCACGCGGGTGCAGGGGCCAAAGCTTTGGGCCGTCCTTGACTGCTTTCCCAGGCCACAGGCAGGGAGCTGGAAGGGAAGCGGGGCTGCCGGGATAGAACCGGCGCCCATATGGGATCCCGGGAGTGCAAGGTGAGGACCTTAACCACTGCGCCACCACGCCGGACCCCTCTTCTCTTTTTTTAAAGACTTACTTTTATTGGAAAGGCAGACATACAGAGAGGAGGAGAGACAGAGAGGAAGATCTTTTGTCCTCTGATTCACTTCCCAAGTGGCCACAATGGCTGGATCTGCGCCAATCCAAAGCCAGGATCCAGGAACTTCCTCAGGGTCTCCCACGCAGGTGCAGGGACCCAAGACTTTGGGCCATACTCTACTGCTTTCCCAGGCTACAAGCAGGGAGCTGGATGGGAAGTGGGGCCACCGGGATTAGAACCAGTGCCCACATGGGATCCCAGAGTGTTCAAGGCGAGGACTTCAGCCACTAGGCTACCAAGCCGGGCCTTCTCTCTGTCTTTACAATAAAAATAAATTTTCAAAAATACATCTTAATTCTTTAGTAAAACATGTGAAGTGCCGGGCTTTGTGGCATAGCAGCTCACGCTGACGCCAAATGGGCACTGGCTCAAGTCTAGCTGCTCCAATTGCAATCTGGCCTCTGTTAGTATGACAGGGAAGGAGCGACAGATGATCCAATCCTTGGGCCCCTGCAACCACAGGGAGATCTAGAAGCAGCTCCTAACTTCACCTCCATCCAGTCACAGCTGTTGCAGCCTTTTGTTGTTGTTTTTGTTTTATTTATTTTTTACTTTAAAAAATGTTTGTTGTTGTGGAATGAACCAGTGAATGAGAGATCTCCGTCTCCTCCCAGTCATAATGTCACTTTAAAAATTAACAAATATAAATAAAGCCTTTAAAGGTTTTATTAAATAAAGCAAACTTCCCATGGAAAGTTTTTCCTTGCACAGAGCATAGATATTGGCCAATGGAGGCAGAGTCACAATACACGTTTCAGCTCAAAGCTGAACTATGTTCACAATTGTCTTCTCACATATGGACACAGGGAGCCAAGCTCTTTCCCAAAATAATGGTTCTGAGATTTTTTGGAGAGTAAAACATTTGGCATACATATGGTACATTTATATATTCATTCATATATTTATGGTTCCTAAGATTTATTATGATTATTATTTATTTCAAGGGTAGAGTTAGAGAGAGAGAAGCAGAGACAAAGGGAGAGAGCCTCCATCCACTGGTTCACTCTCCAAATGGCAACAATGGCCAGATCTGGGCTGACCCAAACTGGGAGCCAGCAGCTTCCTCCAGATTCCCTACGTGGTTGAAAGAGTCATCCTCTGCTGCTTTTCTAGGCTATTCGCAGGTATTGGAAATAGAACATGAACCAGTGCTTATAGGGGATGCTGGCTCTAGCATGATACACCAGCCAGCTACACCATGATGTCAGTCAGCAAGTGTTTTTTATTAACCTAAAAATATAAAAAATATTCACAGTCGGAGCCAATATGGTGGCATGACAACCTAATCCTCATCTGCAAACACTGGCATCCCATGTGAACAGCGGGTTGAATCCAGAATCTACTTCCCATCAACTTTCTGCTTATGGCCTGGGAAAGCAATGGAAGATGGTCCAAGGCCTTGGGTCCTAGCACCATGGGAAGTTTAGGTGAGCTCAGCTTTGACCATTGTAGTTGTTTAGGGGAGTGAACCAGCAGATGGAAGACCACTCTGTCATACCTTCTCTCTGTAAAACAAAAATGTGCCTTTAAAATAAAAATTTTTAAAAATACACATTCATGTGACCCGCAGAATGCTCCAGAATACCATACTGGCACCAGTTCACATCCAGCTGCTCCACTTTGCATACAGTTCATGCTCGTGGCCTGAGAAAGCAGTAGAGGATGACCCAAAGGCTTGGGACCCTGCACCCGCATGGGAGACCTGGAGGAAAGTCCTGACTCCTTAGCTCCAGCTATTGTGGTCACTTGGGGAGTGAACCAGTGAATAAGATCTTTTTCTTTTCTTCTCTCTGTGTATCTGCCTTTCCAATAAAAACAATCTTTTAAAAATACATATTCACAACCATTTACATTTTAAAAGGACATTTGTTCTTTCTGCAGTGATGAAAATGTTCTGGAATTAGACAGTTATTATGACTGCATCACCTTGCAAATGCTTTGAGTATATTTTATTATAAATCAATTACATACTAATTTTTATTATTTTAAATGTTTATATATGTATATAGGCAGGTTTGTATTTTAAGGGCAGAGATGATATCTTCCATCTGCTAACCCATTCCTCAAGGTCTGTAACAACTGAGACTGAACCAGACAAAAGCTAAGAGCTGGTAACTCCATGCAGGTCTCACATATATTTGGCAGGTACCCAAGTACTTGTGCCATCATTTGCTGCCCTCCAGAGTGAGCAATAACAAGAAGCAAGAAAAGTGGCAGCAAAACCGCATCTCAGGCATGCTGATAGGGGATGTGAATACTTCAAGTGGTCACTTAACCCACTGTGCCACAATGTCCATCCTCATATTAATTAAAAATAAGTAAACAAGCAAACAAAACCACACAGCAGGTGCCAGTGTTTTGGTGTAATGGGTTAAGCTGCCACCTGCCACGCCAACATCCCACTTGGATACCTACACAAATACAGCTTACTCTACTGCTGATCCAGTTCCCTAGTAGCAGAAGACAGCCCGGGCTCTGGAGCCCCTGCACCCTTGTGAGAGATTCAGATGGAGTTCTGGCTCATGGCTTCACCCTGGCCTGGACCTAGCCATTGTAGCCATTTGGGGAGTGAACTAGGGAATGGAAAAATCTGTCTCTCCTTCTTTCTCCACAATTATACCTTTCAAATAAATAAATAAAATAAATTTTTAAGATGATATTTTTATTGGAAAGTCAGATATATACAGAGGAGGAGAGAGAGAGGAAGATCTTCCATCTGATGATTCACTCCCCAACCAGTTACAATGGCCAGAGCTGAGTCGATCCGAAGCAAGAAGCCTCTTCGGGTCTCCCACATAGGTACAGGGTTCTAAGGAATTGGGCTGTCCTCGACTGCTTTCCCAGGCCACAAGCAGGGATCTGGATGGGAAGCGGGGCTGCCAGGATTGGAACTGGTGCCCATACGGGATTCTGGCGTGTGTGAGGACTTAGCTGCTAGGCTACTGCGCCAGACCCATAAAATGAATCTTTAAATGAACAATTGTAATGCCTACAACCTGTATCTGAGAGTCCTGGCTGCTCTGCTTCCAACCCAGCTTGTTGCTAACGTGCCTAGTGAAGTACTTGGGTCTCTTCCACACGTGGGATCCCTTCCGACTCCCCCTTGTGCCCATTTTTCACTCCATCGCTTTGCCTTTCAAATAAGTGAACAGCTAACTTAAAAGAACACTGAACACCAAAACGAAAACAATAACAAAAAATAAAGAAAAGAGGGAGGCTGACTACTATTGTGGTAGAGCAGGGCTGGCTGCTACTTACAATGTGAACATCCAATATTGGTGTGCCAGTTCAATTCAAAGCTGCTCTGCTTCCAATTCAACTGATAATGTACCAAGCATTTGGTCCCCCTTGGCATGCCTGTATGTGGTTCCAAGGTTCCTGGCTTTGGCCTGGACCAGCCCTAGATTTTGTGGCCATCTGGGGAGTGACCAGCTAATGGAAAGGTATCTTTTTCTCTCTCTCCTTTCTTATCACTCTTTTTTAAAAAAAAATCTTACCTATTTGAAAGACAGAGTATTTTTCATCTACTGGTTCACTCCCTAAATGGTTACAACTGAGATAGGGCCAGGTCAAAGACAAGAGCTTCATCCAGATGGAGCTTCTGGCTCATGGCTTTGCCTCGTACAGGTGCAGAAAAGCAGACTTGAGCCTTCTTCTTGTTTTTAATTTTGTTTAAGATTTAGTCATTTTGATTGGAAAGGCAGATTTACAGAGGGAAAAGACAGAAAGATCTTCCACCTGCTGGTTCAGTCCCCATGTGGCCACAACAGCCAGAGCTGATACAAAGCCAGGAGACAGGAGCTTCTTCCTGGTCTTCCATGTAGGTGCAGGGTCCAAAGGCCTTGGTCCATTCTCTAGTACTTTCCCTGGCCACCACCAGGGAGCTACATGGGAAGTGGAGCAGCCAGGACATGAACCTGCAGCCATATGGCATCCTGGCACATTCAAGGGGAGGATTGAGCCACTGAGTCATCATGCTGAGCCCACTGGGCCATCTTCTGATGCTTTCACAGGTGCATTAGCAAGGAGTTTAACCCGAAACAGAGCAGCCAGGACTCAAACCGATGCCCATATGTAATGCCAGTGTTGCAGGAAGAGACTGAATGCCCTGTGCTACAATGCCAACCCTATATAATTCTGCCTTTAACCAAACAAGGACTAAAAACAAACTGGCAACCTTAAACCAACATTTTCAAATAGTTTCAGAATTACTGACCTAGAGAACATCCCAGGACCTTAAAAAAAAAAAGCCAATATGAAACTGAAGAGAAGTGAGGGGGCAGGGGGAAAAGCAGACAGCCAGGGTAAACTGAGTCACAGAAGAACTTTGTTCATCTATGAGGTAGAGAATTCGATTTTCTACAACTCAGAGAACTAAATGTTCCTCTCAATCCCTTTGGCTTTCTCTATCCCTCTGTTGATTCCAGATGCAAAGAGAGGACAAATGAACATACAATAGAGTTTGGAATAGCAGCAGAAACATTTCAGGGACCATAGCTCAGTATTTCTTACCTGACTTGGATCTTACAGGAAGAAGGCAATGAGGGGTAGTCTTCTTCCCTGATGAAGAGTCCCTGCACAAACCAGAGAAATGAGAAGTCACTGAAGGCAGTGGGCACAGGAAATCTACTCAGAGAGGAAGAACAGACCCAGAACAGAATCTATACCTCACATATCCGTGGCATCAGCCCCATGGAGGCCTGGAGAATAAAAGAGCAAAACTATTACTGTTTATTCAAAATAATGGTCTCTCCTACTCAAATCCCAGATCTCAGAGCCCCAGGTTCAGCACTGCGGATGGACAGGTTGGTTCCCTGTGCTCTCCTCTTCATATTGGGCAATTTCTCTGAGGGTATATAAAAATCCTAAGGCTCTTCGGGGTTTAATACAGAAGTAACTATTCAAAGTTTACTTTTCAATTTAAGTACTTAAAAAAAAGGTACTTATAATGTAAAATAAAAGGCTCATTACATCTTGATGTAGCAGACTGTCTCACAGTGGTAAGGATGGTACATGATGCAGGATTGCTGTGGTGTTAGGGAGGTGGCTCATTACTCATACTCACTGGGGTGCCCAGCATGGTGTATGTCTTCCCAGAGCCGGTCTGGCCATACGCAAAAAGGCATATGTTGTAGCCTTTGGTAGCTCCAGAGAGTACTTCCGTCCCCAAATCCTGGAACACCTGAAAAAACAAAAGCAGAGTACATGACACTGTGATCCTTTTTCTGCTAGCAGATTCAGAATTATTATTTTTCTTTTTACATTTGCTTTTATTAACTTAGTAGCTTACTTTTTGAGATAACATTTTAAAATTTATGTAGTAGCTGAAGACTTAATGATTCTAATAAATATGGAACTGAGCAAGTACAAACACCATAGTCTAGCAGGAAAATAGGCAAAGATTACAGAATTATTATTGCATTTTTTAAAAATCATAGAATAGTCAAACATTTGTGACTATAAATTTCCTACCATTTCACAAGAATCTGTTCAGTTTCAGAAAAAGACCGATTCAGAAAACACATTCAATCATTCAGATATTTTAAAAAGTGCCTACCACATTCTAGGCACAACACAAAAAACTAAAGATAAACAAACCGTATGTGCTCTAGTGGATTTGTTTGTTGTTTTTGAAGATTTATTTATTTTTATTGGAAAGGCAGGTATACAGAGAGGAGAGAGAGAGGATCTTTCATGCACTAGTTTATTCCTCAAGCGCCCGCAACAACTGGAGTAGAGCCAATCCAAAGCCAGAAGCCTCCTCCCGGATCTCCCAAGTGGGTGCAGGGTCCCAAGGCTTTGGGCCGTCCTCTATTCCTTTCCCAGGCCACAATCAGGGAGCTGGATGGGAAATGGAGCAGCCAGGACACAGACTAGCACTCAAATTCAATCCTAGCACCTGCAAGGGGAAGATGAGCTATCATCCTGGGCCTGATTTCCAGTGTTATGGCAAACAAAGTCTAGGAGAAGGAAAAAGACATTCAAGTGAAATAGCTTTCCTTTCCACAAGACAACGTTTATATGGCTGATCAGAGTAAGCTACAGTGAAATACTGCCAGCAACATACAAAATCAGGATTTTGAGATACCACACTGTGCCTACAAAGGAAGGATTTTCCATATGGACCTATTATCTACATACCTGCTTCTCAGACTGAACCTAACAACTGGTTCCATGGGTCATCTAACTCTGTGGTGAGCCAAAAACAGCTAAAGGTCCTCATGTGAAAACCCCTGTGCTTTGTGTGCTGCCCAAACTTTCTACTGAACTATTAGGCAAATCGTGGTCTCAGGAAAAAAACAGCCATATGTTCCCATTCATCCAACCCTCAACAGAAAGTCACATTTACCATAACCTGTCCTTTGTATTGCTGGCGCCCACCACTGAAATACTCTTCCAATCTGAAGGGAATCTTTTATTGTATCTATCTGGTAAAAAGCAGAGCCCAGTCCTCTGATACAGAAACCAAACAAGCAAGATATTCCACTCTACTTTTGGCAGCTAGAACACTAGTGCTTGAAATGAGGCACATTATCCACATGCACACTCCAGAGTCCAGCAGCATTGCGTGCTGCACATACAGTGGTAGAAATGTCAACTGCGGTACACAGACTATTTTAGGAAAGATTTATTTCTTTGTTTACTGGAAAGGTAGATTTACAGAGAGAAGGAGAGACAGGCAGAAAGAGCTTCTGTCTGCTGGTTCACTCCCCAAGTGGTTGCAATGGCCAGAGCTGAGCCAATCAAAAGCCAGGAGCTACTTTCGGGTCTCTCACACGGGTTCAGGGACCCCAGGCTTTAGGCTACTGCTTTCCCAGGCCACAACAGGGAGCTTGATGGGACGTGGAGTAGCTGGGACATGCACCAGCATCCAAATGGGATCCTGGCACTTGTAAGGCAAGGATGTAGCCACTGAGCCATCCATCACACAAGGCTCATATTAGGCTTTCGTAACATGATGTTGTTTGGGTCTCTGCTAACCAGGGTCTCTTGCTTTTTTACTCATTTTTCAACCTTCCCTTCAACTCCATGAATCATTTGACATGGCTTCAAATGTTCTCACAATTTAAAACTACATGACAGTAGTGGAAAATCTTTTTTCTGCCAAGGGCCATTTCGATATTTATAACATCACTTGTAGGAAATATAAAGTTATCAACTTGGGCCTGGTGCAGTATCCTAGTGGCTAAAGTCCTCACCTTGCATGCCAGGATCCCATATGGGCACCGGTACACTAATCCTGGTGGCCCCCCCGCTTCCCATTCAGCTCCCTGCTTGTGACCTAGGAAAACGGTCTAGGACGGCCCAAGGTCTTGGGACCCTGCACCCACATGGGAGACTAGGAGAGACTCCAGGTTCCTGGCTTCAGATCAGCACAGCTCTTGCCGTTGTGGCCACTTGGGGAGTGAATCAGCAGATGGAATATCTTCCTCTCTGTCTCTCCTCTCTGTATATCTGACTTTTCAATAAAAACAAATGAATCTTAAAAAAAAATTACCAACTTAAAAATTAGCCTGATAGATTATTTTGAATGTCAAGTCTCATCCATGTTTGCCTTGGCAGGATCAGACCAAATTATTTTGCGGACCTCATATGGCCTGCAGGGCCATGTTCCCCAGTTCTGCTGTATAGTATTGGGCAAGTTACTTAAATCTGCTAAGCCTTAGTTCCTTTAGCCATAAATCGAATATTTTTGTATCTTTATAGATTATTTGTGACCATTCAGATAATGCATTTTGTTTAGCACCTGCAGTCATGTTTCTTGACCAGTGAACTATTTATTTTGCTTTGCTTTGTTTTTTAATGCTTCCAACATTCATTCAGGCACAGGGCCATAAAAACACAGAGAGCACTAAAACACTTGAATGTTGCATGAATCCCACTCCCTTCCCTAATCTCTGGCAGCTCTCTCCATCCCTTAACTCTTTATTGGCAAAGCTAAAAACTGGGCAATATTCTTTTTGCCTCCTGAAATCTTAAGTCCCCAGAGATTGAAGAGGCAAAATATGTGGCTATTTCTCATCATTTAACCAGTTCACTTGGCTGTTGCCCTTTTAGTAGGCAGAATGCCTTTGATGAAACTCCACCTTTCTTTCTAATGCCCCAGGAGGTGGAGAGAGAAAGGCTGTATGTAGAGTTATTTCTTTCCACAGTGTATGCACAGATGAGAAGAGTGGGCTCAGTGTAAACTGAGAGAAAAATAAGACTGTTAATTTGCCCATGTCTTTAACTAAACTCAAATAATTGACTGGAGGTTTCATGAAAATATCCTTGAAGATATCATTTCACTAGATAGTAAATATGACATCGGGCAAACTGTTATTACTAAACCCAAGGTTGGTGGAAGTTCTTTAAGGTTCTATAGCATTCTTCAGGAGCTGCAGGGTTTAGGTCACTGTAAATTCCAGGGGTGGAGGATTACCTTGGAGAGGACCCCAGGGTCAGAAGACACCATATTTTACTCCCACCATGATAATATGAAGCAGATGGAAATGAGTTACTATGAAAGCTAAGAACTGTTTGAAGGCTACAAGTCACCAAAAGGCAATCTGCAGCTGGAGGATCAAGCCCAGGCGGAGACAGAGGCAGTAGGATATTTTCCTAGAGTACAATTAGATGAAACACATTAAACAGATTTTATTAAATAAAGCACCCCTGACCTTTTAAAGTATTATCTAGATAATGGACGGCTCACTGGGTGGTGCTGTATATGGGTTCTCAAAACCTGAAGGACTGCTAGCCAAAATATACAAAGAACTCTTAAAAACTCAACCACAAAGTGAAAAAAAAAACCTTAAAAATAAGCTAAGTATCTGAACAAATGTTTTACCCATAAGACACTCAAATGGCAAATAATATGAAAAGATGGCCATCCTACGTCATTAAGATACTGCAAATTAAAACAACACCTCTACTAGATTGGCAAAAATCCAGAACAGCAACAATGGTTGGTGAGGATGTGCAGCAGCAGCAATCACTTTGAAACACAGCTTGGCAGTGTTTTACAAAATTAACTATGTTCTGACTACTCCTTGGGACCTAGCAAGAATACTCACTATCCACATGAAAACCTGCACATGGATGTTTATAATTCCTGTCAAACCTTGGAAATCACAAGTCATACTTTAATAGGGAACTTAATAGAAAATCTGAGTTATATTCAGACAACAGACTATTATTTTGTGAGGCTGAGACTGGGACTTTAACCTACTGGTTCACTGCCTGAATGCTGTACAACAGCCAGTGGGAGTTGCTGCCTAGTCAGGGATACTCCACAGAACCCCCACCAAAACCGCCGCCCCCCGCCCTGTTTCCCATGTTTACCAGTATATACAACAGACTGGTCCAGTTTGTCCCACATCCCGTTCAGCTCTCATACATGTCAGTGGGCGTTGAAGCCTAGTTCAACCCAACCAGCCCCCCATGTGGCCCACGCACATGCCAGTGGAAGCTATTCTGTCTAGCCATGCCTACCCCAGCCCTGGTTCTCATGCTCACCAGCAGTAACCCAAGAGGGAGGTGCCCACCAATTCCCTGCGGGGCCACTCCCACTCCTGGCTCATGCACTCTCCAGGTGGTTCTGGAATTTAACTTGACAAATTTAGCCCCCCATGTCAGCCTCTGCCAGCTGATGCTGTGGCAAAGCCCAACCAACCCTCACCCACTCTAATTTTTGCTTGCACCAGTAGGAACAGTCAACCCAACCTGGCTTTTCCATGATCTAGCTCACATGAGACCCACAGGTGTTGTAGCCCTGCCCAGTCTGGTCTTACCCCATCCCAACTCACAACCTGGTTCATATGAGGGTCAAGTGTGTGGTGGGCAGGATCAGCCTGAACTGCAACACCCAATGATTCATGTAGAAGATAAGGCTGGAAACAGAACTGACCTAGCAATTGCAATCAGCAGCATGTATATGTATATGTATATGTATATGTATATAAGCTGACTGGGGCGACAGACAGTGTCAGAACCTGTACTTCCAAGCACACACAAGAATCAGGTCTGGGATCACCTCAGACGAAGTTTCTTTGGGGATTCCTCCAACTGAACTTTTGGACTCAGAACCCCAACCATGAAGAGAAGTGAAGGTTCCATGGTCTGACCATAGATGCATGTGTCAAAGCTGAGCCACCTCAGTGGCTCAGACAGAGCAGCGGACAGCATATTTAAGTGTAAATG